ATCTTATTGGTGATTTTGGAAGTAGTTTAATGATCAAAAAACCTTTCATCGCTTATACCACGCAAGACGTCATGTCAGGATGGCCGAGCGGTCTAAGGCGCCAGACTCAAGTGTGAAAACTTGTTCTGTTCCAACAGAATTTGTACGATGAGCGTTCTGGTCCTCTCTGAGGGCGTGGGTTCAAATCCCACTCCTGACAAAATACTTTTTGATCAGAATATTGAATTTTGAAATATTAGAATTTTTTTAGCATTTTTTTTATAAAATACTAATTATTATATCTTGTAATCTCATATAACAATGCTCACTATGTTCGAATTTTTCTAATTTTTATGTTTAAGGTCTTAAAATATATAATCGAAATATTTAAAAAAAAATCGAGATAAATGTTCGACATATTTAAATTGAAAAAAAACTTACATATAATGTAAATAGTATTGATTGCGATATTTCATTCCAGAATAGCTCATGGAAGTTTTAGTTTAAATATAACATCAACCCCATTCTGAAATTTGTACAAAGAACTGTGTTTCAGCTCTACCACCAAAATGCTCCATATGTCCATGTCCTCATATAAATAGAAACAAAAAGGGGAGATCATACCTCCAAAAAATAAGTAGAAGGTTTTGGCCCTTTTTTTCAAAATATGGCTAAAAATTCCCTTTAAACGAGGTCATCTTTTATAATTAGGTGGATTTTTCGGTAATTATTCCTAAACATTGAATTTTCTATTTTTAAGTGTATGATTTGTTTTTGATCTTTATCGTCTCCTAATGGTATTTTATATCACAAAACCAGTAAAGAAAGACTTAAAGTCGGACTAGGCCGACTTTATGATACCCTACACCACTTTCCATATTTAGTAGAGCTTCACATAACAAATCAAAGTTTTTATGGGGAATTTGTGAGAATCAAACCAACTATGATTATAATTATAATTTGAAGACCAAAGGAACTAATATATGAAACGAATATCCTCCTCTGAATCGTTTTCTACTAAATTTACCGAGACATTTGTGCCTTTTCAATTCGGGCTTTTATTACCCATTTGGTGCATAATTAACTTGAAATCTGATAAAAATATATATGGGGGCAACTACATCCAAATCTGAACCGATCTCGATAAAATTTGGCAAAGGTATCTTTGAGCTGTATGATGTGATATATCTCCCCGAATATCGTTATTACGGAGTGCATATTAGGGCTGTGCAGAACATATGTAATAAATCTGATGAAAAATATATATGGAAGCTATAGCTATATCTGAACATACTTGTTTCTAGACTCAATTTGGTCGTAAAGTGCCAAATTCCATCCCATTTGGGCTAATATTACACGTTTGTTGCCCAATAAAATACAAATCGGACGAAGATATATATGGGAGCTTAAAAATATTTAGGAAGGTATTTCTGAGCTGCATTTAATATATTTCCCCTAATATCGTTGTTATAGAGTGCATATTACGGCTGTGGAGAACAAAAATAACAAATAGGATGGACAATATATATGGAGGCTATCATCATAATTTCGAATAAAAACATGGAATTTGGCATACTTATTTTCAGACCCAATTTGGTCGGATGTGCAAAATTCCATACAATTTGGGCTGATATTACAAGTTTAGTGCACAATAAAATGAAAATCGGACGAATATATATATGAGAGCTTTATCTAAATTTTTACCAATTATCTCCAATTTCAATAGAATTCGCCTTGGGTCAAACAAATGATTAGTGCAAAATGTCATCGGACAATAATTGCGTATTGTACTTTGTTTACAAAAACAAATGGACAGACGGACGTACAGACATGCACAAATCGTCTCATCAAAAGGACCTATGTGCCTATCTCAGACTCAAGTGTGAAAACTTGTTCTGCTCAAGCAGAATTTGTACGATGAGCGTTCTGGTCCTCTCTGAGGGCGTGGGTTCAAATCCCACTCCTGACAAAATACTTTTTGGGAAAAATGTTTTATATTCCATGTGATCTTCTGTGCAATCATTGCTTAAAACTGAGTTTCTTAAAATTTGTCCTTCAAAAAAGGTAACACTAGGAAGTTTAGAAAATTTAAGTTTTTGAAAACAATTATTTAGATTTTTAATATTTGTGGTAAAAACATTAATTTTTTAATTTAGCAATATTATTTTTAATGAGTATTTGATCAGAAAATATCGATGAATCGAGATGTACCATCACATTGGTGATCTACTGTACGGATCAAATCTGATTTAAAATACTTTTAAGAGATTTTTCAACGTTCATCGTCACGTCAGGATGGCCGAGCGGTCTAAGGCGCCAGACTCAAGTGTTAAAACTTGTTCTGCTTGAGCAGAATTCGTACGATGAGCGTTCTGGTCCTCTCTGAGGGCGTGGGTTCAAATCCCACTCCTGACAAACTATTTTGTTTTGTGAAATTATTTACATTTTTACAAGATTGCGGATACAATTTTTGAAGTGATATTTTTACTAGACACGAGATGTGGACAGAAAGAAATATAAAACATTGAAATAATTTTTAGATTTGCAATTAAGACTACTAGAAGTGATGATCAATCATTTGTAATGATATATAAAAATGGGAAAATAAACGAATTTAATGACTAATAAGAAATATGCCTTATACAGAGTGAGATGAAAAAACGGCAACCAACTTCAGATTGCTGTCATTTCTAAGCCACTCGTCCGACAGCTGTTAAAATTATTCCAGTGACAGCTCATTATATTGTTTACAAGCGTACAACAGCATTTTGATGAGATTTTTTCAGAAAAAAGGTTATTCCTCATGGAATTCAAGCGTGATAGTGTGATTTCTTTAGAATTGGTTGGAAAACCACAAGTGGCTATCGTTAGAGCACTACAGCATTTAAATGTAAATACCATCGCTCGTTACCGTGATACTGGTAGCGTACCCCGTCGTCAAGGAAGTGGACGCAAAAAATAGCAACATCAGCAGAAATGCTTCGGAAAGTAAAGAAGCGACTTGATCGAAACCCGCGTCGCAGTGGCGAAAAAAAGCTCGTGAGCTGAACATATTGCAATATTCCATTCGGCAAATAATGCAAAATGAGCTCGGGGTAAAGCCATTAAAATTCCAAACAAAAAGAAAATGGACTCAAACGAGCTAAAGAGTTGCTTCGCTTGGCCGAAAGTGGTGAACTGCCGAATTTGGTTTTCTCCGATGAGAAAACATTGGTTGTCCAGCAGTTTGTAAACAAACAAAATGATCGATCGTGTTTACTTCAGCTGGCCACCAGAACTCAAGCGCCGGCCATGGTGTTGTTGTGGGCCGTCATAACAGCCGATGGTCGCTCTCCTCTTGTATTAATCGACCGTGACATCAGAATAAATGCCGAATATTATTACGAAAAATATTCTGGAGGGTGTATTAAAGCCTTGGACACGCAAACATTTTGGCCGGAAACCTTGGACATTCCAACAGGAATCAGCACCATTGCACTCAGTACGCGCCACCCAAGAATGATTACAAAATGAGGTTCCTTGCTTCATTTCCAGCGCACAATGGCCACCAAAATCTCCGGATACCAATCCCTAGGGCTATTGTGTCTAGAGTATTTTGGAAAGCAAGGTTGGCACTAAAAAATACCAAAGTGGCGATCACCGCAAGCTAGCGCTTCGCCGGGAATGGGCCAAAATATCGCAGAGCAACATTCGGGCAGCGTGTGACGGTTTCATTGGCCGTTTGAAGGACATAATTCCTGCCAAAGGTGACCAATTCGAACAAATCTAAACATATTTTAAAATTTGAGGCTATTTCCGATATTTTTGGCTTTCCTTCAATAAAATTAAAAAAAAAAAATCAAAACATTATGCATTTGACTTTGTTGCAGATCTGTATAGGGTTAATAACAGGGGTTAATAGCACTAGCTCATGTCAAATTTGAAAGATAATTGGTTTTATCCTTCTACCGAAAGACTGTGTATGAGCTTGAAGAACTATGGACATGATTGCGAAATCATTGGTAATGTTGCGGAATGTGTCTGGAAATTGCGTACAGATTTTGAAAGAACAGAACCACAGTCAGCTCCATATGTAAATAAGCTAAATTGTCGAATTCAGGACACAGAAAATCCGCACGCATAGATTAAAAACCGTTGCAACCAAAACGAATCACTGTTTGGTACGGATTTTGATTCAGAGGCATAATAGGGTCATTTTTCTTCGAAAATGAGCAGAGAGTGGCCGTTGAGTTATCGGGTCATATTGAACGAATTTCGGTTCACAAAAATTAAAGAGTAGGATGTTGACAACAGTTGGTGTTAACAAGACGGTGCTATGTGCCACACAGCCGAAGCTATACTCGATTTTCAAAAAAAAAAAAAAAAAAACCTATATTAATAGAGCAACGTATCCTAAATATAATTTTAAAAGCTAGAAGACAAGTGTTTAGTAAAAATAATTATTTTTCAATATTTTCGTACAAATTTTGTATTGGTCTCTGCCCATTTTTAAATGGAGTAAAGTTTTATTTTTCTTCTTTTCCCGTCTAAGCCCTTCCTCGGGAAATCAAATGCCAAAATGCGAATTATTGGGGTTTCTAAAAAACATCTACTACAACCATTTAACAAATGTTAATATACACAACATCAAGAAAAATTTTGAAAAATAAAAAAATAGAATCGAATATAATAGAATATAATCAATATTTAAAAACACCAAGAAAATACAAGCATGATTATTATGTTAGGAGAAGAGGTTAGAAGAACTACAACATGATGATCGTTTCGGTGGAGAAAAACAAAATGGTGACGGTGTTCTGGGGGGAAAGGATGGAAATAAACCGAAAAGAAAACACAAATATGAGCAACATTGAAATAATACAGACATGCAGACACAACGAAAAACATCGATTTTTCTTTTTTTTAAGTTTTTTTTTTTCGTTTTTACTTATAAACACAAAAATACATGATTTTGTAGAGAGAGATTGAATAAAACAAAATGGAAATCATAAAAAGAAAATAATGGCTGTGGACCAACTTACCCGGATTAAAGTGCAGCTCCAATTGTGCATACAAATATTTCATAAAACAACGACGCGATACAATTTCAGCATGTGAATCATTTAGAACGGAGCCATTAATGCTCATATGTTCACCGCTGACACATTTGGTGCCAGTCGATACTGAAATGACCTAAAAAAAATAAAAGAATATTATCGAAGGAAGGTATTAAAAATGTAAGTTTAAATTATATTAGAAATTGTAGCATAAATGGAAAGGGGGTAAATTATGCATCCATGTAGAAAGCAAAAAAAAAAACATATTTATGCAGAATATTTGAAAAAAAATCTCAAAATCTCATTATTTTTTCATTTTTTTTGGAGTAGTCATGTATAGAAGTTTTTTGAACCGTCCATGGCCCTATGGGCTAGGCATGGTGTTAATTGAATATAATTAAATAAACAAGTAAAAAAACATTAAGTTCGGCCGGGCCGAACTTTCAATACCCTCCACCTTAGGGTCAAGGAAACATTTTTTTGAGACCGTTTGCATTTTTAATTATCAAAAACCATAAGGTGAGTGAGGCCGTTATATGGGGTCATACCAAAACGGGAACCTCTACTATAATTGTATACTCCAAGGATTGCCATCTATCAAATCTTCTAAAATACCAAATTTGAAACAAATTTATGGGTAAATGTGTCTAGGATTATCAAAATACCGAATATTGGTGAGTATAGTTATATGTGCGCTTTAGGAAAACGTGGAACTCAATATTCAATGTTTTGCCACCGGAACTAGAACCCATTAGGACACAAAAATACCAATTTTTAGACAAATCCGCGAAGAAATGTAACAAAAATCATTAAAATATCGAATATCGGGAGGTACCGTTATATGGGGCTACGTGGACCTATACATACAATGTTTCGCCACCGGAGCTAGAACCCATTATAACCCAAAAATACCAATTTTTAGACAAATCTTCGAAAAAAAAATGTGTCAAAAATCATCAAAATACCGAATATCGGGAGGTACCGTTATATGGGGGCTTAACCAAACGATACATGCAATGTTTCTCCATCGGAGCTAGAACCAATTATGACCAACAAATACCAATTTTTATACAAATCCGTGGGAAAATACGGAAAAAAATCATTAAAATACCGAATATCAGAGGTACCATTATACCAAATATATATACCAAAGCTTGGACCTATACATACAATTTTTCGCCACATGACCTAGAACCCATTATGACCTACAAATACCAATTTTCAGACAAATCGGTGAAAAAATGTGACAAAAACCATAAAAATACCGAATATCGGGAGGTACCGTTATATGGGACCTACACCAAAACGTGGACTTATGCATGCAATGTTTTGCCACCGGAGCTAGAATCCATTATCCCTAACAAAACCCAATTTTTTGAACAAATCCCTGTTAAAATGTGGCAAAAATTATCAAAATACCGAATATCGGGAGTTACCGTTACATGTGGGCTATACGAAAACGTGGACCTATAAATGCAATGTTCCGCCTATGAAACTAGAACCCATTATGTGCTATATATACCAATTTTTAGACAAATCCGTGTTAAAATGTGGCGAAAATCATCAAAATATCAAATATCGGGAGGTACCGTTATATGGCGTCTATACCAAAACGTGGGCTGATATATCTCATTTTCAATACCAACCATCCTAGACACAATACAAATTGTTGTGACAAATTTCGACGCTCTACGTCAAATAATGTGAGCTGTATCGTGATTTCAACAGACAGGCGGACATCGTTAAATCGACTTAGAATTTTATCCTAATTATGAATATGTATACTTTATGTTAATATATCCTCCTTTCCGAGGTGGAGGGTATAAAAACGGCGAGAACTCATTCATTCTATTGATCGTTTGTTATCACGTCAGGATGGCCGAGCGGTCTAAGGCGCCAGACTCAAGTGTGAAAACTTGTTCTGTCCCAGAGATGGGCATAATGCACTGTATATTTAGTGCACTAATAATTTCACTATCACTGTTCATTTAGTGGTAGTGCAATTTTTAATTCCACTACCACTAAAGGGTTAGTGGTAGTGAAAAATAAATTGCACTACCACTAACCCTTTAGTGATATTTAAAAAAAAATTGCACTACCACTAAATTTTAGTGGTAGTGAAATTTCAATAGCACTACCACTAAATTTAGTGGTATTTAAAAAAACTTGCACTAAATTAGTGGTATTTCATAAAAAATAGCACTAAATTAGTGCTATTTAGAAAAGTAATCAAATTTTATGAATATGTACTATATATTCTGGATTGTTGTTCCCTACTCACTTCAATAAATTTCATTATACCTGGTATAATACTTATATACATAGTGCTTTTTTTGGCTTCGCTAAAATTTAGTGGTAGTGCAAATTTTTTTTGAAAAATCACTAAATTTAGTGGTAGTGCTATTAAAATTTCACTACCACTAAAATTTAGTGGTAGTGCAATTTTTTTTTAAATATCACTAAAGGGTTAGTGGTAGTGCAATTTATTTTTCACTACCACTAACCCTTTAGTGGTAGTGGCATTAAAAATTACACTACCACTAATTATTTAATTCTTAGTGCACTAAAAATTTAGTGCAATATGCCCAACCCTGTTCTGTCCAAACAGAATTTGTACGATGAGCGTTCTGGTCCTCTCTGAGGGCGTGGGTTCAAATCCCACTCCTGACAAAATATTTTTTGTGACTTATTTTTTACATTTTTTATTTGAAGCTTAATATTTAATATTATTTTGTAAAAATATTGTCATAAGGGACTGATAAAGCTTAGAATTGTTGTGAACTCCAAATATCTATTTTGAGAAAATTCTGTTGAAAAAAGTGGCTAAAATCTAATATCAGGAGGTACCACCATATGGAGACTAATCATAAACTTTGCAAGGTTGTTTTCTGCAAACATCCATTTTACCGTAAATTCGGTTAAAAACTATGATTAAAACACCCTTAATCTTACAGCGCCAAAACTATGGAGGCCATACCAAAACATGGAAGATCTAAGGACCTAAAATATATCTGAGTAAAATTTTATTGACTACTTCATTTTGTTAAAATAATTTTGATACAGACGGAGGGAATGGCTAAAACGACATAGAATTTGTTTCTGATCAAGAATATAAATATACTTTGTGGTGTCTAAATTTTTTTATTCGAAGAATTACAAACGAAATATGCCCATCTAACTATTTGGCATATTTCATAAAAAATCTCTTGTTGTTTGCGAGGTATTATCACTTTTGTGCACTGCTGTATGCATGGTTTCTGTTACGGTATATATGTGCAACACATTCTCAAACGCTATATCGATATGTCAGGATGGCCGAGCGGTCTAAGGCGCCAGACTCAAGTGTGAAAACTTGTTCTGTCCAAACAGAATTTGTATGATGAGCGTTCTGGTCCTCTCTGAGGGCGTGGGTTCAAATCCCACTCCTGACAAAATATTTTTTGTGACTTATTTTTACAATTTTTATTTGAAGTTTAATTCATATTTAGCATTATTTTGTAAAAAGGTTGTCAAAAACGACTGATAAAGCTTGAAACTCCAAATATCGATTTTAAGATAATTCTGTTGACAAATGTGGCCAAAATCGAATATCTGGAGGTACCATTATATGGAGAATAAACTAAAATTTGAGATGTTTTCTACGTACTGAGAACATAAACAGCCAATTTTCCGTAACTTCGGTTCAAAACTATGACTAAAACAGTCTTAATCTTACATCACCATACCAAAACATGGTAGATCTAAGGACCTAAAATATATCTGAGTGAAATTTTATCGACTACTTCATTTTGTTAAAATAATTTTGATACAGACGGACGGAATGGCTAAAACGGTATAGAATTCTGATCAAGAAACATAAATATTCTGTGTGGTGTGGAAATATGCCCATCTAACTATTTGAAATATTTCATAAAAAATCTCTTATTGTTTGTGAGGTATTATCACTTTTGTGCTCTGCTGTATGCATGGTTTCTGTTACAGTATATATGTGCAACACATTCTCACACACTTTATCGACATGTCAGGATGGCCGAGCGGTCTAAGGCGCCAGACTCAAGTGTAATAACTTGTTCTGTTTCAACAGAATTTGTACGATGAGCGTTCTGGTCCTCTCTGAGGGCGTGGGTTCAAATCCCACTCCTGACAAAATACTTTTTTTATTGTGTATATATATAAAACAGAAGATAAATTGCTGATTGACTGCGAAGCAACACCCGGAAAATGGTCGGTCTTGGTGCGTTGGCGTCTTGGTGCGTAGACTGGGTTTTTGGAAATTCGTAAAGGTATAGAAAAATACAAAAATGGAACAATTTATATTGGACAAACGGAATGTGCTTCCGAAATATGGAATCAGAGCCACTGTTGGGGTACAGGATGATTTTCCAAAGGGTTTTTGAAAATTTAAGGTACGAAAAGTCCTACAGTGGTATGTAACTGACACCATTGGGTATGAGAATCAGGGTTAGAAAGCACGTTAGATATATAAAGATAATTCTGGAAATGTGTACTAAGTGTGCGAACTGGCAAACATTTGGAACAGTTGCGTTTTGGGGTGAACGGATGAAGCTGGGATTTTGAATTTTTGTATTGGGGTTCCTGTTGGTGGTAGGTTTGTAATAAAGAGTTGGTTATGAAAATGTGTACCACAAGTGCACGAAAAATACTAAATAGTACTAAATTTTGTTACAATTAGGTACTGGGTGATCATATAGTGCTTGAAAACTGAAATTAGGTATGCCTGGACATTTAAACGCGGTTTCGGAAATGTGTACTATAATTGCAGTGCTGAATGGTACTATATTTGGTATTGGGTGAATGGTATGTGTGTTCGAGATTTGGCAGTGGTTTGGAAATTTGTACTACAATTGTACGCAAAGTACTAAATAGTAGCCAATTTGGTATTGGGGGAAGGAATATAGTTGAAATCCTCAAATTTGATATAGATGTTACTTTGGTTTCGGAAATGTGTCCTATAATAGTACGAAAATTACTAAGTAGTACCATATTTGGTCTTGGTTGAAGGGATAAGATGCAATTCTGAAAACTGATATTTAGATAACAATACCAAGTGTTATCTCGAATTAAAATATAGAGATGGTTTTGAATATAGGTACCAAATGGTACTAAATTTGGTAATGGGGGGGGGGGGGGGTGTTGGGTTAATGAAAGAGATGAAATCCTGAAAATTGATATTAAGGTCAATGTTGTTATCTGAGGTTGAGATATGGAGATTGTTATAGAAATGCGTCCTCTATTTGTTGGAAAGTTGTAAATGGTACTAAATTGGCTTTTGGGTGAAGGGAAATTTGATATCGAGGTCACTATTGGTATCTGGTATTGAGATGTGGAGGTGGTTTGGCATATGCGTGCTATGATTGTTCGAAAAGTACTAATAGTTCGCATAGAAAGGCAATATGTTGGTCTTCTTTTTATATCCCAGCCAAAACGTGCCTCATCGAAATTATGGTTTTAGACCCTAGGTCTCTTTGGACTTTGGAGATGAGCAATATCGGTCCACTCCTTCTGGTACATCCCCCACAAAAGGTCAAAATTTCCCAAGAAAATAATTTACTGCACAGAAAGAGAAAGGATAATCCGATTTTGCTCTCACATTGCAAATCCTATTACTTGCATCAGTGCTAGGTCAGGTGCGAAAATGGACAACATCGATCCACTCCATCCAGTACCTCCCCCACAGAGGGAAAATTTTTTGAATATTCATGAAGCTTAAAAAACTTGAAATTAACATACGTTTTCATTCAGAATTGGTAAATCTCAATTTTTCCATCAACAAAAGATCTTTTATAAAAATGGAAGAGATCGGACCATTTTTTTGGTAACTCCACCAATAAAGGGTCAAAATTTTGAATAACAAAAACGATAATAAAATCAGAAATAAGCATTCGGGTCTGTTCAAATTACACACGTAACAATGTTTATATTAAACCAAGGTCTGGTGTGAAGATAGAATATATCGGTCCGCTACTTCTGGTAACTCCCCTACAAAAGGGTCAACATGTTCCACATCCATGAAGCTCATAAACCGCGAAATTAACATGCAATCCATTCAGACTTGGTACCTCTCAATATTTCCATTAATACTAGATCTTTTATAAAAATGTCAGAGATCGGACCATTCCTTCTGGTACCTCCCCCACATAGGGTTCAAAATATTGAAAAAAAAATTTCAAATTTAAATTTCACACACCCAAATATTACAGGATATGTTGTGAAGATGATATATATCTGAGAACTTCTTCTGGTACCCAACCCACAAAGACTCACAATTTTCAATATCTGCCATAACTTGCGAAACAAGTTGGCGATTCTTTACAAGTTGCTATAACTAAATACATTTTTTTAACCAGAAATCTGATATGAATATGTAATTTATCGAACTTATTCGATTTCCTTCAAATTTTGCACATAGCAATATTTATACCCTACACCACATAGTGGTAAGGGTATTATGTCTTTGTGCATTTGTTTGTAACATGGAGAAGGAAGCGAGATAGACCCATAGTTACTTTTGAGGATCTCCATAGAATCACTTTCTGAGTTGATTTATGCATTCAGTCCGTCTGTCCATGTATTCTTGTGAACAAAATGCAGGTCGCATTTATTATCCGATCCAGATGAAATTTTGCACAAATCATTTGTTTGGCCCAAGGACGAACCCTATTGAATTTGATAATAATCGATAGATAATCGGTAAAAAATAAGATATAACTCCCATATATATCTTCGTCCGATTTGCCTCTTATTGTGCACCAAACGTGTAATATCAGCCCGAATAGTATGGAATTTTGCACATACAACCAAATTGGGCCTGAAAATACTTATGCCAAATTTGATCCAAATCGGATCAGATATAGCTATAGCTCCCATATATATGTTTCATCCGATTTGTTATTTTTGTCCTCCGCAGCCGTAATATGCACTTCGTAATAACAATATTTGGGCAAATATATCAAATGCAGCTCAGAAATACATTTGCTAAATTTTATCGAGATCGGCTCAGATTTGGATATAGCTCCCATATATAACTTCGTCCGATTTACTTTTTATCGTGCACCAAACGTCTAATATGTGCCCAAATGGGATGAAATTTGGCACTTACGACCGACTTGAGTCCAGAAGGTAGTATGCCAAATTTGGTGAAAATCGGTTCAGATATACCTATAGCTCCCACACATATTGTTCATCCGATTTCTAGTATTTGTTACCCACAGCCGTAATATGCACGCCGTAACAACGATATTCAGGGTAATGTATCAAATACAGCTCAGAAATATCTTTGCCAAATTTTATCGAGATCGGTTTAGATTTGGATATAGCTCCCATATATATCTTTATCAGATTTCAAATTAATTGTGCACCAAATGGGCAATACAAGTCCGAATTTAACAGATTTGAACTTTGAACTTTATATTATAATTATAGCGTGTATGATTGAATTCTCCCATAAAAACTTTTAATTGTTATGTGGAGCTCTACTGAATTAGCAAAGTGGTGTAGGGTATCATAAAGTCGGCCCCGCCCGACTTTATGACTTTTTTTACTGGTTTTATCTGTATTAGATGAAATTATGAAAATATCTGTAACCTCACGCATATTTTCACATTTTCCAAAAATTTGCACATATCTCATATAAAGTACATGAAGTCGTCGATATAGTCCAAATCTGGCACGTTATAATATTTATATCAGTCTTAGGTCAAATACGTATTGGTCAATATAAAGGGTAAACAATTTGAATAATCATAACTCAAGGCTGGGGGTATACATCTGTCGGCAAAACAGACTGATACTAGTTTACTTGTTAAAAATCTTTTAAGATCCCTTTTTGAAATCTCTAAAAGTGAATTGAAAATTCTGCAACTTTCCAACCCATATGAATTAATCTTCCTCAGTATTTTTTTTTTCTTTTTCCACAGAAGAATTTTCATTAGTGACCTTGTTCCCCCATGGTATTACAGCGTTTTTTTTCTTACTGCTGCTTGGTCGAAAATAAATCAACCTTTGAGATAGGGTTTTTTTGTGTAATGTCTTTACAGGAATTTTTATGTAAATTGGTGATACCAGTATTCAACAAAAAAATGAAAAAAAAAAAAAAAACTGAAATGGAACCGGCGATGGCAAGAAAAATGCCATAAATCTTAACAGGAAACGGATATGCGGAAAAAATGGCAATATGAAAAACTTAGCATGTGGGCCAATGAGAGAGAGTGTATATGTGTGTGTGTGTCCGACCATTTTACAAAACCACATGACCATGACATTTTAATTATTTTCCCTCTTTTGAAATGGGTGAAAGGGCTCTAAAATTCTTTGCCATTGTTTTACAGCCAATAGCATAGCATAAGGACGGACGGGCCATGACAATAAATTCTATACAACTATGGCATTGTTAACAATTTCCGTTTTTTTGAATTAACTCCAATAAATGATGACTAGGATGATGATGATGATGACGGTGTTGAGTGAAAGTTGATTCGTTCCACTTACTTGAGCTTCATTAAAATTCATATTCTCTGTCATGACAATGCCGGCCAAAACTTTGCGCCGTGAATACGATTCTTGTCCTTTGATGACTTCCATAAACTTTTCCAAAACTAAACGGCCAATGGTGTCGGCATGTATTTGTGGCAATTCCATGGATGATGATTTATCGTCCAGTGGTAGCGGGAGATTCTTTTGGGGATGCATCATGGGACTGTAGGAAATGTTGCAGAGCGATGCTAATGCCGCCTTGGCAGCAGCATTTTTGGCTAACTTCTTTGAGGGTCCTGCATGGGGGGTGGGAGAGAGACATACATGAAAAGTGACCATTAACATAAAAAGGGCAAACAACCACAACAAACTTACCAGTTCCATCAAATTTACTATTATTAACTGTTACCGTCATCTTGAAACGGCAATTATTTTGAGCTCCATCAACGGTTGAGCAATCGAAATGGACATCGGTGAACAGCTCGTAGAGCAGCATAACGGGTCCCTTGTCGGGTACTTTCTTTTGGCCATCCACACTCAGGGGACTCTTGTTGGAATCTATGACGGAGAGACAAACAAAATGAGATCAGTACCGGAAATTCCACCGAGTGGACAACATTTATAGAAAGTTTTTTTTTTTTTGTAGAAGAAATTTTGTATTTTTTTTTGGATTGAGTTTTTTTGTTTTGACATGTAGAAGGAGCATTTTAAACTTTTTGGTTTTTTTTTGGATTTATGTAGTAAATGATGATGGCAAACATATGCAGGGTATTCTATGCACATACAAATACACACAAAGATATTTTGGGCAAAATAAATAAAAATAATGAAAATCAAGAACAACAAAAACATAAGCAAAAAACGAAATATAAAAAAACGCAGAAATAGTTGGACGCATTAACAATATGTATGTATGTAGATTTGTTACCTTTGCAATCCGTTGTTCACACTGGAAATTGTTTAAAAAGGGGGAAGAAAATAATCACCAAAAAACTCAAAATTTTTTAAAAATTAAAAAAATCTCCAAACGGTTTAATCCTATTATCAACAATTTTTTAGTTTCTTTATGTGTAGTTTCTAAATGTGTGATGTAATGCCTAGAAATTTGGAAGCCCCTAATTACACTGTTTAATACAAAAAAATAATTACAAGAAAAATCCAACAGGTTATGAAAGTAGAAATAACAAGTAAAAAAACATTAATTTCGGCCGGGCCAAACTTTTAATACCCTCCACCTTAGGGTAAAAGAAACATTAGAAGAAATGTGGCAAAAACCATTAAAATTCCGAATATCGGGAGGTACCGTTATATGGGGGCTACACCAAAAGGTGGACCTATAATTACAATGTTTCGCCACACGAACTGGAACCCATTATGACCCACAAATACCAATTTTTAGACAAATCAGTGAAAAAATGTGGCAAAAACCATAAAAAAACCGAATATCGGGAGGTACCGTTATATGGGGGCTATATCAAATCATGGACCCATGCCTGAAACATTTCGCCACCGAAGTTGGAACCCATTATGACCAACAAATACCAATTTTCAGACAAATCCGTGAAAAAATGTGGCAAAAATCATCTAATTACCGAATATCGGGAGGTACCGTTATAAGGGGGCTTTACCAAAACGTGGACCTACACATGCAATGTTCTGCCACACGCTCAGGGACCTATTATGACCCACAAATACCAATTTTTAGACAAATCAGTGAACAAATGTGGCAAAAACCCATCAAAATACCGAATATCGGGAGGTACCGTTATATGGGGGCTATACCAAATCATGGGCCCATACATGCAATGTTTCGCCACCGGAGCTGGAAACCATTATGACCCACATATACCAATTTTTAGACAAATCCGTGAAAAAATGTGGCAAAAAAAAATAAAATACCGAATATCGGGAGGTACCTTTATATGGGGGCTATACCACAACGTGGACCTATACATGCAATGTTTTGCCACACGCTCAGGGACCCGTTATGACCTACAAATACCAATTTTCAGACAAATCCGTGAAAAAATGTGGCATAAATCATCAAAATACCGAATATCGGGAGGTACCGTTATACTAGAACGTGGACCGATATATCTCATTTTCAATGCCAACCATCCTATACACAATGGCAATTTCTCTGCTAAATTTTGGCGCTCTACGTCAAATAATGTGGGCTGTATCGTGATTTCAAGAGACAGACAGACGGGCAGACAGACAAACGGACAAACAGACGGACATCGTTAAATCGACTTAAAATTTTATGCTGATCATGAATATATATACTTTATGGGGTCTACGACGAATATTTAAGGATGTTACAAACGGAAAGACAAAGTTAATATACCCTCCTTTCCAAGGTGGAGGGTATAAAAATAGAAGACAAGTGAATCGAATTTTGAAAGTTTACATCGCAAATTAACCTAAACTGAAAAGAAAATTCAACCCTTTCAATTTTTAAAACCTCAACCATACGGCTACAGAGGGTGTACAGGGTAAGATGTAAAAACTGCGACAAACTTCAGACTGCAGTCATTTCTAAGCCACTCGCCCGACAGCTGTTACACTTATTGCAGTGACAGCTCATTATATTGTTTACAAGCGTACAACAGCATTTTGGTGAGAATTTCCAGTAAAAAAATGATTCGTGATGGAATTCAATTTCTTTCTATTTATGTCTCGTTACCGTGATACTGGTAGCGTAGCCCGACGTGAAGGAAGTAGACGGAAGAAAATATTGAAAAATGAGCTCGGGGTAAAGCCAATGAAAAAAAGAAAGAAAATATACCCACAAGAGTTAAAGAGTTGCTTCGCTTGGACAGAACTGCCGAATTTGGTTTTCTCCGATGAGAAAACATTCGTTGTCCAACAGTTTGTAAACAAAAAAAAGTCGTGTTTACTTTCCAAAGAGGTCAGCGGAAAATGTGCACCTTCGGTTGGCCACCAGAACTTAAGAACCGGCCATGATGATGGTGAGGGCCGCCATAATAATAGCTAATGGTCGCCCTCCGTCCCTATTAATCGAATAATATTATCGCGAGAGTGTATTAAAGCCTTGGGCACGCAAACATTTTGGCCGCAGACCTTGGACAATCAAACAGGACTCAGCACCATAGCACTGAGCACGCGCCACCCAAGAATGGTTACAAAATAAGGTTCATCGCTTCATTTACAGCGCACAATGGCCAACAAAATCTCCGGATAACAATCCGTTGGACTATTATGGCTGGAGTATTTTGGAAAGCAAGGTTGGCAATAAAAAATACCAAAATGTCGATCGCCTCAAGCAAGCGCTTCGCCGGGAATGGGCCAAATTAACGCAGAGCAACATTCGAACAGCGTGTGACGGTTTCATTGGCCGTTTGAAGACCAAATGGTGGAGGGTATTCAAAGTTCGGCCCGGTCGAACTTACAGCTTTTTTACTTGTTTCATTACACTGTACGACAAATTTAAACTTTTGGTCTCACCCACGATCAAACTGACCAGATTCTGAAAATATAGCTCAAAATAAAATATACGTATCTTCCAGTTTTTCTAGATCAATTCATTTAAGCTTTTTACGAGCAATTCAATTTTTGGAGTATTCAGTCAGTATATACCTATATATGTTTAATGACCTAGTAACCATAGATATTAAAAACATTGATGTTATCAACAACAGTGCGTAAGTGTTCAAACGGTTAAGAAATGGAGTGTCAAAAAAAAAAAAAATAAATTTTGTTACGTTTGTGGCTTATTTGCACCTCCAAAGCATTTAAGATGTATTAATGCAAGTGTTGGAAAGGGTTTCGTACAGATGCTCAGTTGGGCCAATTTAGTATTGACAATGTACCATTGGTTGAATCCAGCAAAGTAATTTTACCCACTCTCCATATTAAGTTGGGTTTAATTCGAAGTTTTATAAGAGCACTTGACACAGACAGCGCAGCGTTTAAGCTTATTAAAGCTTTCTTTTCAAAAATGAGCGAAGCTAAGATCACGGCGGGTAAGTGCTTAATGTCTCTCTTTTGATTATTTAGTTTTTGATTGTTCCTCTCTTCAAGGTGTTTTCAATGGTCCACAAATCAAACAACTGTTAAGCAGAACAGACTTTCAAAATATGCTTAGTCCCATAGAAAAAAGAGCATGTACCGCGTTCATAAACGTTATAAATAATTTTTTGGGAAACAAGAGGGCGGAAAATTATAAGGAAATTGTAGAAGAACTGATTGCTTCGTATCATGCGATGGGAGTCAATATGTACCTCAAAATACATTTTCTTCACAACCATTTGAACTTTTTCCCGCTGAACTTCGACTTCAGCGACGAACATAGATCTTGTATCCCATATGGTCTAGTGGCTAGGATATCTGGCTTTCACCCAGAAGGCCCGGGTTCGATTCCCGGTATGGGAAAACATTTTTTTGTTGTATCTTCTAATTCGGTAATTATTGCGATCTTAAAAATTTTTACGGAATGTGAATTTTTCATAATATCCGAATGGCACAAAGAAGACAATTGGTTTGGATCTCGTTTACTTCAAATTGCTCTTTTGCTTTTCGGATTTTTGCTCTAGAGATTTAGAAAATAAACTGAAAAATTTCTTATTGCACTGAATAGGAGTTCGGAGTTAATCTAACACGAAAAATATTGGTACTGGATAACTTGACAAAATACTTTTGTTTGCCCAGATATTTTTTCTGTAACCTGAATTGAAGAAAATATCAGAAAACATTTTCAATTTCAACTCTGAATTTTAAAATGACTCTTTGAAACCGAAATTGTTCGTTAACGACGTGTCAGATTGAAGAAGTCAAAAATAAGTCACTTGACTTTACATATCCCATATGGTCTAGTGGCTAGGATATCTGGCTTTCACCCAGAAGGCCCGGGTTCGATTCCCGGTATGGGAAAACATTTTTTTTGCCAATTTTTGTTATGAACAATTACGAAGCTTCCCTATTTAATTTTAGAATGAAAAAGCTGATAATTTTTGTGAGAAAATCATTTCATATCATCTCTTGTCTATGATACGAGTTGAAATACTGAAACTTTTCGATACATTTTCAAGACGATATTACGTTAACGTGTCCCATATGGTCTAGTGACTAGAATATCATGATTCTTTGGTTAAAAATTACAAAGTACTTAAAATAATTATTAAATATTGGCAACTTTTAGTTAATTTTTTTACAACATATTCCACAGGGTCAAGTACTTGCATATTGTTTAAATTTCGACAAAGTTTCGTTTCGTTCTGCAACATTTTTCTTTAATTAATATATCCCATATGATCTAGTGGCTAGAATATCTTGCTTTCACTCGGAATCCGGAACTTTTTCAATATTTGAATTGGCGAACCTTAGATTTTTTCTTCAAATAATAGTTCATCATATTGTTCCATATAACTTCAGTATAATAAGTTTTTGGACATTATTGCCGAATAATCAGTATTATTACAAAAAATTATCAAATTCATGTAATTTGATGATGTTTAATAAAAATAGTGATTATTCAGAAATTATGTCCAAGAACTTAAAATTCTGGGATATGTGGAATTTAACTGAATGCTAGAAGCTATTCTATTGCACTTGATGACTCAAAATATTTCCAAAATACTAAAATCGAATTTCTGATAACTTCTGAAATTCAAAATTATATTACTCAGCATTCTTTTGCTTAATATTATAATTAGTAGCTGTGGTAGAAAAGAAGGAAGAACTGAATTTTGAACATACAAGACCGAAAAATGTTTTTTTGGAAATCTGAACAGAAAAGAAAATGTTAAGGAAAAAAGAAACAAAACTGAAAATTCAAAATGATACAGAGAGGGAGGAGAAAACAAAAACAAACTTAAAATGGGAATACTTGCTTTGCATGCTCAACTTAATGTTCTCAAGCAAGAGGTCTGTGGAGGAATTCTTGGATGAACAAAGTTTTGCTTTAAGTTTAGCTTTCTTCACAATGCTCCCAACATACAGAATCAATTCAGTTTGTGACATTTTGTCAATATCTATACCAGTACCATTGTCCAGATGTTCATCGCTGGTGAAATCTAAATTACAAGCCGGCTTCAGGGGTGTCAAGACGGCGCCATCTTTGAATTGTATAAAACTGCGCAAGGCCGTTGCCGCCGCTTCGATGCGGGCGATTTTTTTACTGCGTCCCTGACCGAGATACTTTTGACCATCAACCTGGAAGGGGAAGGAGAGAAAATTAGTATTTCGTAAGGATATTTGAGGATAAACATAGATATTTGAATGGATATTCGAGCTGATTTGAAGTGGATTGAGCAAAAATCTTGAAATTTTCCGAATTGCGAATTTTGCGAATCTGCGAAATAAGATAATGTCTCGCAGATTTCGTCAAGTTTGTAATTTCCAGATGATTTTAAGAACCTTGAGAATTGAATTCCCATCTTCATACAGGGTGAGATGAAAAAACTGCAACCAACTTCAGACTACTGTCATTTCCAAGCCACTCGTCCGACAGCTGTTAAAATTATACCAGTAACAGCTCATCATATTGTTTACAAACGTACAAAAGCAATTTGGTGAGAATTTTCCAGAAAAAAAAACTTATTCGTGGTGGAATTCAAGCGTGATAGCGTGATGTCTTTATATTTGGCTGGAGAACCTCAAGTGGCTATCGTTAGAGCACTCCAGCATTTAAATGTGAATAGATCTTTTGTGCCTTGTACCATCGCTCGTTACCGTGATGCTGGTATAGTAGCCCGACGTTAAAAAAGTGGACGGAAGAAAACAGCAACATTAGCAGAAATGGTTCGAAAAGTAAAGAAGCGACTTGATCGAAACCCGTGTCGAAGTAGCCGAAAAATGCCTCATAAGCTCAACATATCGCAATATTCCATTCGGCAAATATTGAAAAATGGGCTCGGGGTAAAGCCATTGAAATTCCAAAAAGTGCACGAACTTACACCGCAACAGAAAGAAAATTGACTCAAAAGAGCTAAAGAGCTGCTTCGCTTGGCCAAAACTAGTGAACTGCCGAACTTGGTTTTCTCCGATGAGAAAACATTCGTTGTCCAGCAGTTTGTAAACGAACAAAATGATCGTGTTTACTTGCCAAAGAGGTCAGCTGAAAATGTGCACCTTCGGTTGGCCACCAGGACTCAAGCGCCGGCCATGGTGATATGGCCGGCATAACAGCCGATGTTCGCTCTCCGCTCGTATTAATTGACCGTGGTATCAGAATAAATTCCAAATATTATCGCGAAAATATTCTGAAGGGTGTATTTAAGCCTTGGGCACGCAAACATTTTGGCCGCAGACCTTGGACATTCCAATTGGACTCAGCACCATCGCAATCAGCATGCGCCACCCAAGAATGGTTACAAAATGATGATCCTCGTTTCATTTCCAGTGCACAATGGCCACCAAAATCTCCGGATACCAATCCGTTTTACTATCGTGTCTGGAGTATTTTGGAAAGCAAGGTTGGCACTAAAAAATACCAAAGTGTCGATCACCTTAAGCAAGCGCTTCGCCGGGAATGGGCCAAAATACCACAGAGCGACATTGGGGCAGCGTGTGACGGTTTCATTGGCGTTTGAGGGCCATAATTCGTACCAATGGAGACCAGTTCGAACAAATCTAAACTTATTCTAAAATTTGATGCTATTTCCGACATTTTTTGCTTTAATTCAATTAAATTTAAAAAAAAAATGTAAAAATTATGGCATTTGACTTTGTGGCAGTTTTTTTATCTCACCCTTAAAATTTTTTTGTCCATTGAAACTTGTAGAATTAGTTCCCTATAACAAATTTCCCCCAAATAATACCAATTTAATTGTTTCGGCATTCCGAAAATCTCTGTCTATCCCTCCATCAATATATTTAAAACATTTACATTTTATACAATCGACGATGGCCACCATTCTCCAACCACAATGGCTCTGGACCAATGTGTTTTCACTAATAAATTCCAAAATTAATTTCACACCAACAAAAAAATCCACATAATACCACACAAAAATGTCCCACAAAAATTGAAAAAAAAAACACACACACACAACAACAACTATAAAACATGGCTCAAATGGCTTGAGCTAGCCATTTTGACCACCATTATAAATATGGTATCGATGAAATAGATATTCCAATTAATATTGGCCAAATAATACCATTTCCAATATGTTTTCAATAAACCAAACAAAAAAGAAAAAGAAGAAAATGCTGTGTGTGTTGGGAAAACCATAGAAAACCGCAGCATAAAAGTGAATAGAAGCCAATGTTGAAATATTGAGGGGAAGAAGGAGACTTCAGCAAAATGACGGGATATTCACATTATGCATTGTATGCAACATTAGCAGTCCGTAAAAGGGGGGGAGGTGCATTGAAAACAGTAGAAGAAAAGAGGAAACCATGAAATTCAATTTGTATATGTATATATAAATATATATGTGCAAGAGTATGGTTAATGGCAACCAAAAGCCAATGGGAGAAACAAAAACGACATGGACTCCTCTGGTATGCAAAAAGTACAATGGAACTTCATGTGGTGTCCTCTGTAAAGACCATAGAGATGTTGAAAAATTGATTCTCAAAAAAAACCTCATCCACACGTAACCACAAAATAGGCCGGATGGTTGCATTAATAAACCAAGCTGTAATGTCCCCTATGGTTTTTATAGCCTTAGCTATATGGCTAGAGAGAGGCTATATATCATTTGATACGGCCAAAACGTGTTTCATAGAAATAACGATTTTAGACCCTAGACCTATTTGGACCAAATCCGTTCAGGACATTTGGAGTCCATCTAGCAATGTCCATCCAGGTGTCTGTCTGGCTGGTGTGCACGATAACTCTGAAAGGGAGTATCCGATTTGGTCCAAACTTGGTACACAGTCGATCGAGCTCGGATATGGGCAAAATCGGTCCACTCCTTCTGGTAATACTCCCACAAAAGGTCTACATTTTCATAATAAAAATAATTTGCAGCACATGAAGAGAACGGATAATCTGATTTTGTTCAAACTTAGCAAACGGGTTCGAGAATAGACAAGATCCGACAACTCCTTCTAGTACCTCCCCCGCCAAAGGGTCCAAATTTGGAATATCTAAAACACATATCAATATTTTAACCATTACAAAATCTGGTGTAAAGATGGAGCATAGCCGACCACACCTTCTTGTACCTCCCCTACAAAGGGTCCTAATTTTGAATAACTTAAACGCTCAAAAAATGCGAAATATGGATCCAATTATTTTCAAATTTCGCACATCCTAATATTTCTACCAAAACAAGATCTGATGTGTAGATGGGATATATCCGACCACTCCTTTGAATACCTTCCCCACAAAGGCTAAAAATAAATTGGAATATCTAAAACGCTAATAAAATGCGAAAGATATGCATCCGATTTCCTTTAAATCTCGCAAATTCCAATATTTTACAAGATAGGGTACCTCCTCCACAAAAGTTTAAAATGGGACATATCGGTCCTGTCCTCCTATTTTAAAATGTGAAATTGTCTGCAAATTTGGGATATATCCGACCACTCCTTTGAATACCTTCCCCACAAAGGCTAAAAATTTGGAATATCTAAAACGCTAAAAAAATGCGAAATATGCATCAGATTTCCTTTAAATATCTCAAATCCCAATATTTTACAAGATAGGGTTTGAAAGTAGGATATACCGACCAACACCTTTTGGTACCTCCTCCACAAAAATTCAAAATTTTGAATAAAATGGGATATATCGGTCCAATCCTCCTATCAACATTTCGAATAAGACGGGATATATCGGTCCACTCCTCCTATTATAAAATGTGAAATTGTCTGCAAATTTGTGATATATCCGACCACTCCCTTCCTTCTTCACAAAGGCTAAAAATTTGGAATATCAAAAACGCTAAAAAATGCGAAATATGCATCAGGTTTCCTTTAAATATCGCAAATCCCAATATTTCACAAGATAGGGTGTGAAAGTAGGATATACCGGCTCACACCTTCTGGTACCTCCTCCACAAAATTTGAACATTTTGAATAAGATGGGATATATCGGACCACTCCACCTATTATAAAATGTGAAATTGTCTGCAAATTTGTGATATGTCCGACCACTCCTTTGAACACCTTCCCCACGAAAGCTAAAAATTTGGAATATCTAAAACGCTAAAAAAATGCGAAATATGCATCAGATTTCCTTTAAATATCCCAAATCCCACAAGGATAGGGTGTGAAAGTAGGATATACCGGCTCACACCTTCTGGTACCTCCTCCACAAAAATTCAATATTTTTAATAAAATGGGATATATTGGTCCAATCCTCCTATTATAAAATGTGAAAAAAGGGTCCTATTGTCTGCAAATTTCGCACATCTCAATATTTCTACCAACAAACGATCAGGTATGACGATCGGAAAGAACGAACTTTTCCTTTGTACAATGGATCAATATTTTGAATAAACACACATGAGACAATTTGAAACAACTTAATATTACACAAGATCTACTATGAAGATATAATATATCGGACCTCTCTTTCTGGTACCTCCCCCACAAAGGGTTAAATTTTTGAAAAATTATAACTCTCACAACATTCGAAATATGTCAACGATTTTCTTCAAACCTTGTATATTACAATATTTTTACCAACAAGAGATCTGATCTGAATATGAAATTTATGGGCCCACTCCTGCTGGTACCTTCATCACTTTTTAAATCAGCGATCGGTAGCTGTTCTATAGAGGGTCAACATTTTGAAAAATAATAAAACATGAAAAAATATGTATTTAATAAATGGATAAAGGCTGAGGATATCAATCTGTCGGCAAAACCGACTGATACTCTTTAACTAGTTTAATATAGATCTGTGCCTGAGCATCTGCAATTAGGGTTTTAAAATACATAGAACATTTTTATCTATCTAAAAAATAGTTTTGAAGGTTTTTAGCCTAAAAAATTGTATAAACCTATAAAAACGCATTTTGTTATAACTTCCACCATACATAGTAGGGAGAGTATATGAAGTTTGTCATTCGGTTTGTAACTCATCGAAATAATAATTTTAGACCCAACAAAGTATGATCAGCGTAAAATTCTAAGACGATTTAGCTCTGTCCGTCCGACCGTCTGTCGTAATCACGCTACAGTCGAAACGAATTAAGATAGGAAGCTAAAATTTTGCACAGGCCTGTCTTTTGTCTGAAGGCAGGTCAAGTTCGAAG